CTAGCCCCAGTGACTTTATGCATCTTATAACCAAGAAACCTCTAGTACAGCAAGTCTGAGCCAGAGGTTTTATCACACTTTGTCCTTGGGGTTCCACCAGGAACCAAGTCTTGGCTCACAGCCAGGCTGGATATAGTCTTCACAGTTCTGAACCTGAAGTTTGAGCTCTGCCTCCCCTTTCAAGGAAGATCTAGAGGTCACCTGCGCTTGTAGAGACATGGCTGAAGCTTCAGGCCTGAAAGTTGAGCTTTGGGCCCTACCTGAGGGGGCCCAGTCTTTTGGAAATCAAACAAGAAGAAATGGCTGTTGGTCAGGTCCTAGGGACAAAAAAGACCCAGTAAGAACCAAATCCTCACCCCAACACCTCCCTCTTTGCACTTACTGCCTCTGCTCAGAAAGCTTCACAGGGCTCCGCCTTCTATTGGGGAGCAAAATGTCTGTTCCTGTGCCTAAAGCCTCCTTCCCGAACACCAGTACCCTGAAAGGGCCACATGAGACAAAAACAAGTATAGACTTCTCGGGGCCCTCACCTTGGAGACAACCTTGAAGCCTAGCTTGGTCACAGCCCGCAGAAAGGTCCAAACATCCTCAAAGCGGCTGCTGACCTCAGCCACTTTCAGGAGACCCCTGAGAAGGACAGAAAGTTCTGTGTAAATGCACAGACCCATGCACACACACACATATATATGCATCTGTGTCCTAAGGAGAGGCTCTTACCCTGGCTTCAGTACTCGATTTGCCTCCTCTAGGAAGTCCCTGATGTTGGTTCCCATCAGTGAAAGGCAAAACACAGCCACATCCACAGACTCATCCTCCAGAGGCACCTGTGGAAAGTGAGAGTGTTGTGTAAAGCACACACAGTGCAGAAGGAGAAAGCCAACCCTGAAACACCAGGATGGGAAAGGGGAAGAAAAGGTTAGAGACTAGCATATGGAGGTTGGGCCTGAAGCACAAGCCAGATAACATAGGGGTTTACCTGGGCCATGTCACACACAGTGACCCTAGGGTCCAGAGAGGCCAAGTCAAAGCAATGCACAGGGTTCCGGATACTTGAAGCCAGGCGGCAATCCCCACAACCGAAGTCAGCCACCACCAGGGATGCAGGCCTGAGAGTGGAAGGGAAGGGTCACATATTGGTCTGATCTAAGCCTATGACTGACCCACCACATGGCTTCTCACAGTGCCTGACCCCAATTCACCGCTGGCGAAGATCCTTGGCGATGCGGTCCACTGGTTGCAGTGGCCACTTCTTCACTTGGCTCTGGAAGCCGCGGTGGTAGAGAAGAAAGGCCTCAGGGTCTTCCTGGAAGAGACGCTGTGCAGCACTGCTGGGCCCGGAGTATAGCTGTTCATTGAGGTAGCGAAATCGGGCCCCATCCAGCCGCTGTGCCATGCGGGCTCGCAAAGCCCCTGCCCGAGCCTCATGGCTCTCTGTCCTAGGTACAGGAGGCATCTCTGTCTTCTCTGTGGGGGCCTCGGCTAGAGCCTGGTCTGGCACCTCAGGTGACCGAAACTTGTTCTTATGTCTTCTCTTATTCTTTTGCCGGTTCCGCCACTGCTTGCGACTCAATGTATGAGGGGGTTTGGGGGAAGTGGACTCAGGGCTTGGCTTTGGCAGGTCATTTGTAGCACTATTCTTCCAAGCTTTGGGACCTGCAGGGAAGGAGATGGGACGGTGTACATGAGGCAAGATCTCTTAAATTCAGGGGCATGGCTAGTCATCCCAGTCATACCTCCGTCTTTGAGACAGTGACTGTGGTCTGATTAAAAGTACTTCTTATTGCCTGAGTATACCATTGGCCCTAATCCTAATGGCAGTGGATAACCTCTGTTGTATGTAGAATCAGCTGATCCCCCTCCTCCACACACACACACACACATATACATCCAATGGTACCTGTTTGGTCAACATCATCCAGGTGCTGGGCTGGATTTAAAGGGGCATGTTTCTGGCATTTCCTCTTTCTTTTCTCTTCTTCAGCAGAGTTACCGCCAAGAAGAGCCTGTTTGCGGCATGTCTTCTTCCTTTCCACTTCTTCCTCAGAGTAACTGCAAGGTGGGCCCTGTTTTTGACATTTCTTCTTCCTTTTCTTCCCTACTTCAGCAGAGGCACTGGCAAACGATGCCTTTTTGGGGCATTTCTTCTTCCTTTCCACCTCCTCCTCCTCAGAGTCACTGCTAGGTAGGCTGGGGGGATTCTGGGAAAGAGATGCTGCCTCTAGGATCCGTAATGTGGCCAAGAGCTGGCGGCACTTTGAGCCCTGGAGGAAAACAAGGGATGACAGTGGGGCTGGAAAGAATGGATGAGGACTGGAAGGGAGAGTGTGGACCTGATTCAGGCTGGCAGAAGCATCTGAATTCTTCCCAGTCAAGACTGCCAGAACCCAGAGGAACTTTCACATCACCACCCCAACCTCTGAGAAGCTGGAAGGCAGAGAAACCACCTATCTCACTTTCTTCAATGTGTAAATGAGCTAATGGAGGTTTTCCCAAAGGAATGTACCAAGGCCACAAGCAACAAGACCAAGGCCAGAGACCAGGAGTTTCAACCCCTCACCTCAAGCTTTTGCCTCTAGCTGAGACATTTCCACAAGAGGTAAGGAGGTTTCTGAACACAGCAGCAATGTGATCACACATGTATATTAAATATTTAACATGTCTCTACCTGTAGTGTAGAGAACAAACTGAAGGGGAGAAATGAAGACAGAGAGACCAGCGGCCTGCATTACGGTAATGGGGCTAGGGAATGAAAAAGGAGGAAACAAAACAGGCTGATTCCATGATGGAAGCAGACTGAAGGATAAGAAAAGCCCGAGGAAGCACAGCCCTTACATCTGCAGAGGCTCAAAGGAGAAGGTGTGTTGTCGAGAAGGCTGATTCTGGGTTGCAGTCCTACTGGGTAATCCTAGGCCAGGAACTTAGAATCTAAGTTTCCCACACTCTCCTTCGAACAATGATACCAACAACTCTTACATTCTCCAATCCATCCTCCACACTGTAAACAATGACCCTTTCAAAATACAAATCTGAAAAAAATCATTCCATTGCTTAAAACCTTTCATTGGCTTCTCTCCATTCTCAACATATGCAAACTTCTAATCTTCCTCTTGAACAGCATCTGCTCTCATTTACTCTGTATTCCATCCACAAGGATCACTTTTTTGTATGTGACTCTAACAGAACATGCTCTCTTGTCCCAGGGCCCTTGCACGTACTTGTTCCTATCTGAAGAACCCTCTTCGCTTCACCAACTTCTACTTAACAACTTTCTCTTTGACCCAACATCAGTTTCTTTTGGAAGTTCTCGGATGTTCCAAGCAGGGCTCGCCCCCAACGGTGCCACAGGTATCCCTCCCCGCAATACACACAACACTGGGATCCACCAGTGTCCGCTTCGCGGCCTGAAACAGGTCCCATTGCCCCTGAGGGTCACTCACATTGTTTTGCGAGGCGGCCGCAGGCAGAGGCCGTGAGGTTACGGGCCTGAGACCCGCGGCTACTGGGGCCGCCTCGGCCCACTCAGGCTCTTCGAACATCAGGGTCGGGAGAGCAGGGTCGCAGAGTCCCAGCTCTTCTCCACGTGCAGAGCGCCTCTCTGGGAGTCCGAGGGCTCAGACCCGCCAGAACGGAGCCGGAAACCAAAGCATGACAGCCAAGGGCTGCTAGAGCGGCAGGCGCAGCGCAGCGAACCATCGAGTTTAGCCATTCGCGGCTAGAACGGCAGGGAGGCGGTGGGAGGGGTGGGACGGAGGCCCGCGCTGCTCAAGAGCGCCAGGGGCGGGGCGGGGCTGGCTGCGGGCGGCAGGCGGCGGGCGCGGCCGGACGGGAGTTCGCAGGACAAGGAGCCTGCTGCCCGAGTCCCGGTAAGTGCGAGAAGGACCCGCGCCCCCTGCCTACGACTGGGGGCCCTGCCAACCTGTCACCCCTCACTTCGCCTGAGTTCAGATTAAGGAACGGAGCCAACCCTGGGGAGGACCCCCGGCCCCCTCCCCCAAAGTATGCGGAGCCTGAACCTCCCCACTTCCCCCAACTCTGTTCGCGAGTAGGGTCTACTTGCCTGCTCTCGGACTTCCGTTCAGGAAACACTACTTCTTCATCACCCCCTGCCCCGCCCTTACCTCGCGCCTAGAGGACACAGTCAGATCATCCCGCAGCCCTGAACTCCTTCACAGACCACCAGTAGCTGGGAACGCACCTCAGGCTCCCAACCCCCAATGCAAACACTTCTCTCCTGTAGAGGACAAAGCTTGGGGTTCATCCTCCTTCCCTGGATCACCCCACAGTCCCCAGGCTTCCCCAATCCGGGGGACTCGGCGCCGGGACGCTGCTATGGACGACATTTTCACTCAGTGCCGGGAGGGCAACGCAGTCGCCGTTCGCCTGTGGCTGGACAACACGGAGAACGACCTCAACCAGGGGTGAGCTGAAGCGGTTGGTGGATGAGAGAAAGGCTCGAGATCTCCTCTTGGCTGCGTGGAGTGAAGTGCTCATGTCTGGTGGGGGCGGCTGACTTTGCCATCCAGTGTAATGAGTGCTAAGCACAGCCTGTAGGGCACAGAGGGTCTTCACAGAGGACGCAGTGTTTGAGCTGAATCTTGACTGCTGAATAAGAGTTTCACAGGCAGAGGCTGCAGAGAGCTCTCCAGCCTCAGTAAACTGCATGGGCAAAGGCTAGGAGGCAAGGCACAGAGCAAACAGGAAATTGGACTTCCATATGGCTGGAAAGTAGATGATCTCTGTGGGTTTGAACATTGGGCATAAGAGAAGAACAGGGCGTAAGGCTGTAGAGGACTGCAAAGATCAGCCAGATCATGCAAGCTTATTTAGGCTCTAAGAAGGTCTTTGTTTTAAAAGCAAGGTTTCAAAGCTGTATAGTGACATAATGAGATTGTCCATTTTTCAGTATCATCTTGGATGCTTTGTGAAGAGCAGGTGGAAAGGAGGCAATTGCCTAGTTCATCGTAGAAGTAATGTTATCTTGGACTAGAATTAGGGTGAGTGAAAAAGAGAGGTGATCACATTCCAAAAGTCTTTAGGACAAAGAATTGTGGAACTTGGTGTGGGGAGTGAGGAAGGGTAAAGATGAGGACCAGGGTTCTGGCTTGGGCACTTGGGTAGATGGTGGTTGTTTTTACAGAGATGGAGAAAACTGGAGGATGAGGCGTTCTATTTTGGACATATTAAAGTTAAGGTGACAATGCAACAAGGTGGAAATGTTGAGTGTGTTGTTGGTTATACAGATTTGCAATTCAGGAGAGCAATCTGACTTGGAGACACAGAATCAGCATATAGATGATACTTGAATACATGGGTGTGAAGGAGAATGTCTCAGGTGAGTGGAAGGCAAGAGGTCAGGGGACAAGAAACCTACAAGACTGAAAAAGAGCAACTGGAAGTTGAAAAGGAAGTAGGAAAATGTGTGAGTAAAGCTTAGAGAAGAGAACGTTTCAATGAAGGGGAAGTGATCAACAGCAGTACAGGCTACTAAGAGATCAAAGAACATTAATACTTTAAACTAGCTATTGAATTTACAATTGGGATTTTGTTTAAATTCCAGGGGTACATGTGCAGGTTTGTTATGCAGGTAAACTTGTGTCATGGAGGATTGTTGTACAGATCATTTCATCACCCAGGTATTAAACCTAGTACTCATTAGTTATTTTTCCTGATCCTCTCCCTCTTCTTATCTTCTCCACTCTGGTAGGCCCCAGTGTCTGTTTTCCCCTTCAATGTGCGGTAGGATATATTTGATGGTCTGTGAGTGTTGTTTCAGAATAATGGGTGAAGAAATAACACTATATTGGGTTCCTTCATTTAAGGGAGTGTGATGAACACCTTCTGTGCTGGGTGCTAGAGTCCAAGAATCTCACATAATCGCTGCCCTCCAGACAGCAGATTTGTGGCAGGTTGAAAAGTAGGCCGGGCATGGTGGCTCACGCCTGTAATCCCAGCACTTTGAGAGGCCGAGGTAGGTGGATCATGAGGTCAGGAGTTTGAGACCAGCCTGAGCAACATGGTGAAACCCGTCTCTACTAAAAATACAAAAATTAGCTGGGCATGGTGGTGCGCACCTGTAATCCCAGCTACTCGGAGGCTGAGGCCAGGAGAATCGCTTGGACCTGGGAGGTGGAGGTTACAGTGAGCCAAGATTGAGCCACTGCATTCTAGCCTGGGCCACAGAGTGAGACTCGGTCTCAAAAAAAAAAAAAAGAGAAAGTAAAAGAAAAGTGAATGGGAGGTGAGCAAATAGAGAAAGTGAATGTAGACCAGTTCTATAAGGTTGGCTGAGATAATGTAGACCAGTTCTATAAGGTTGGCTGAGATAGGAAGGCAAGAAGAGTGATATAGTGATGGTGACTGAGAGTGGCAGATTCTAATTATTTAAGATTGGTAGACTTTAGTTTTTAAGTTTGACGGGTCAGGATCACCTGTCCTCTCAGTCTAGACTTCACTGGTTCCCATTATGCTCTGCACTACTTCTCTTTAATACTTTGCAAAGTCATTTGTTACATTTTTCATATAGTTCTCAAAGGATACTCTTATAAAGACAGTTAAGCACTGTTACTATTTTGTTGGTGAGGAAATATAGGCTTAGGCAGTTGCCCAGTGGGCCTAGCATCTAGGAAGACTCTAGCTGAGTCTAGGAAGACTCTAGGAAGATGCTACAAAAAGGAAAAAGGGTGGCATTAAAGAAACTGGAAGGTTTTGGTGCTGGTTTGAGAGGATAAGGTATGGGGGCCTAAGCTGGCTATATGCTAGATATGAAGAGGGGGTTAATTTCCTGCAAATCTCCTTGAGATAAAAGTCTAGGCCCTGGGGTGACAAGCAGCCTCATAGTGAACAGAACCCTTGTGCCCATACTTTTGCCCCAAGAGTTTGGCCTGCCCTGGGGCCACAGGCAGTACTGGAGGCTGATAAGTTAGGGCACAAATTAAAAATGTAGGAGGCAAGACCGACTGATAAACGGGGTGTCATTGCTTCCTGGGGATATCCCCATCCAGGAAAAGCTTTTGGCTATTTCTGTGTTAGCAGATGCGAGCCAGTTTTGGAGGAAAATGATTAAGTTAAAGGCCACACCCCCCAACCTCTTCAGCTGTAGGGGCCTCTGGATGGCCAGACCCCTGATCAGCTCCAGGCCTTGCCTAGAGTCCCAACACAGGAAGTGACCACAGCACTAAGGCATCTGGAGGCTGCTGGCCTAGACCAAGGACCGCCCCCTGCTCCGCCCCTTGAATCTGCAGCATCGAACTAGAGGAAATTTCCTTTTATGGCCCCATGCTGTCAGGCAGGCACAGCTCCAAACCAATTGTTTTGTTTGTATACATATTTTACTTTATAAAATACATATCTCTGGGAAAAGAAAAAAAATCAGATATAGTTTTCCTTCCAAAACAGCCGTTCTCATTTTCTTGTTTTCTGTGCATAGGATTGCTAAATAGGGGAATCCTGCTTTGCATGGTGGTTTGTTATTTGCCTCATCAGTAGTCAAAAGCCTTTCTCCTTTTCAATATAAACCCTTCCAAAACATCATTTAAATTCCATCCCATTTTTAGATGTTAGTTTCAGTACCAGAGCTAAATAGTAAGCTTGTTCCCTCTCCTGTAAGTTGTGGCCTGTCTTCTCCAAGACACCCTTCTCCCCAACTAACGTGCACTGAACAGCTGCTGTCAATCCATTCCCTCAAGAAACTTAAAGTCTAACAAAGTCTAACAGACAAGACAGTATATTAACAGATTTTTACAATCCAGTGTGACAAGTGCTGAAGTAGGAGGATTTATAAGATGCAGTGGAAAACAGAAAGGACCAACAGATGTTGTGGAAGGGGTGCAGGAGAAACAAGGGGAAGAGTGCTACCACCTCATGAAATGAGATGTGGGATATGGTGAAGTTAAAATTTTTTATAGAGGTTGTTGAGGTATCTAGCTAGTTGGTTTTGAAGCTCAGGGGAAGGTCTGAAATGGACAGCTTTGGGAGTTGCTGGCATGAATGAGAATCAAAGTCCTAGAGAGGTAAGCCTTCCCAGAGAGTATGTAATTATCAGTTTTTCAGGAATCAAAACCTTTGCCCTATCCCACCTCCAGCTCAATGACCATTGCCCCTTCCTCAAAGGGACGATCATGGCTTCTCCCCCTTGCACTGGGCCTGCCGAGAGGGCCGCTCTGCTGTGGTTGAGATGCTGATCATGCGGGGGGCACGGATCAATGTAATGAACCGTGGGGATGACACCCCCCTGCATCTGGCAGCCAGTCATGGACACCGTGATATTGTACAGAAGGTATGTACAAACCCCTTCGTTACCCACATCACATACATGCCATGAGGGTTAGTCACAGGCACTGTTAACACAGTAGAAAGTACGTGTACTCTTCCCCTTTTTCCTATGCCCTGACCCAATATCTCATTTGGGACTGACTGCACCTTCTGCCTCCTTCTTTTTGTCTGGCCATGGGGTTCAGCTATTGCAGTACAAGGCAGACATCAATGCAGTGAATGAACATGGGAACGTGCCCCTGCACTATGCCTGTTTTTGGGGCCAAGACCAAGTGGCAGAGGTGAGTACTCAGGCCTGAAATCCTGAGATGGGTGGGAAGTAAAATCAGCCTGGGTGGGAGATTTTGGAACCCTCAACCCTTTCTGTCAGTACTACTGTGTGACACCCACAGGATTAAGTACAACATTTTTGTGTTCATGGTTGGTTCAGTGACTGCCAGAGAGGTAGCAATGGCCCTCATTATAATGGCTTTTTCATTCCAGGACCTGGTGGCAAATGGGGCCCTTGTCAGCATCTGTAACAAGTATGGAGAGATGCCTGTGGACAAAGCCAAGGCACCCCTGAGAGAGCTTCTCCGAGGTCCATCTCCCCACCCGCTAGCTTGTGTCCTCTTGTCCTTCCCCACCTGTCTTCTTCCTCTGTACCACAGCTCAGGTTGTTTTTCTTCCCTAGAGCGGGCAGAGAAGATGGGCCAGAATCTCAACCGTATTCCATACAAGGATACGTTCTGGAAGGGAACCACCCGCACTCGGCCTCGTGAGTCATTACTGTCGGAAGGGTTGTACAAGTAAATAATACTGGGTTAGGGTAAAATTGGGAACCTGACCTGCCCACTGTCTTAGGAAATGGAACCCTGAACAAACACTCTGGCATTGACTTCAAACAGCTGAACTTCCTGACGAAGCTCAATGAGAATCACTCTGGAGAGGTGACCCCTGCCCTTCTTGCCCTTCCCTCACTAAACCCCCATAAATTACCTGCTCTGTACCTGTTTTAAGTTTTTCCTCCAGTTACTGGGCAAGGAAGTGATAGCCACAGTTCAAGCCTCCTAACCTCTACCTGTCCTTCAGCTATGGAAGGGCCGCTGGCAGGGCAATGACATTGTCGTGAAGGTGCTGAAGGTTCGAGACTGGAGTACAAGGAAGAGCAGGGACTTCAATGAAGAGTGTCCCCGGCTCAGGTAGTGCAAGGCATAACCTAGAAGCTGCTAGTTCCAAGGAACCCTGAATAGCACCGAGAGATCTTTTATACTGGGTCTTAACCACTCCCCCCAATTCCAGGATTTTCTCGCACCCAAATGTGCTCCCAGTGCTAGGTGCCTGCCAGTCTCCACCTGCTCCTCATCCTACCCTCATCACACACTGGATGCCATATGGATCCCTCTACAATGTACTACATGAAGGCACCAGTGAGTATGGATGCTGAATCTCCTTGGGGAGGAAATGGGAGAAAGGGTGCATGAGCCTCTCTGAACTGACTCTTGCTTACTCTCAGATTTTGTTGTGGACCAGAGCCAGGCTGTGAAGTTTGCTTTGGACATGGCAAGGGGCATGGCCTTCCTACACACACTAGAACCCCTCATCCCACGACATGCATTGAATAGCCGTAGTGTAATGGTGAGGCCATAAGCTCACTCCTGCCCCAGGCCCCAAAGCCCTTTTCCCTGTATAGGACTTACCTCCTTATTACAATATCCATTTCTCTTCCTCAGATTGATGAGGACATGACTGCCCGAATTAGTATGGCTGATGTCAAGTTCTCTTTCCAATGTCCTGGGCGCATGTATGCACCTGCCTGGGTAGCCCCTGAAGGTGGGTGAGGGTATCACGTTGGGAAGTAAAAAAGGACCACCTCAGTAGTAGTGGAAGGGGACAGAGACAGGACAGGACAGGGGGCTGGAACAGAAAGCTCTATTCCTCCAGCTCTGCAGAAGAAGCCTGAAGACACAAACAGACGCTCAGCAGACATGTGGAGTTTTGCAGTGCTTCTGTGGGAACTGGTGACAAGGGAGGTACCCTTCGCTGATCTCTCCAATATGGAGATTGGAATGAAGGTGAGCAGAATAGCATACGTTTGTGTTGGGGGAGTGGTTGGTGATGGTGGAAATAACTGTAGTGGGCCTGGGCTCCTCCTGTATTTGTTCGGATATACAATAATCCTGTCCCAAGAGCCAGTTGCTTCTCTCTACAAGACAGACTCAAATTCTAAGGCTCAGTTTTTTCTTGTATTTGCAGGTGGCATTGGAAGGCCTTCGGCCTACCATCCCACCAGGTATTTCCCCTCATGTGTGTAAGCTCATGAAGATCTGCATGAATGAAGACCCTGCAAAGCGACCCAAATTTGATATGATTGTGCCTATCCTGGAGAAGATGCAGGACAAGTAGGACTGGAAAGTCCTTGCCTGAACTCCAAAGGTGTCAGGACATGGTTGGGGGAGTGCACCTCCCCAAAGCAGCAGGCCTCTGATTGCCTCCCCTGCCTCCTGTCATGGTACTACCCCAGCGATGGGGTCCATCCCCTTCCCGCATCCCTACCACTGTGGCCCCAAAAGGGGCAGGCTCAGAGCTTTGTCACTTTCCACATGGTGTCTCCCAACATGGGAGGGATCAGCCCCGCCTGTCACAATAAAGTTTATTATGAAAACAGGCTGGTGTGGGGACATGGGGACAGACAAGTACATTTAGGTTGGGTGGCTCAGGTGAAGTAGTGCGGCTTCTTCACATTGATGCCATACTCGCTGAGGGCAGGGGTCAAGTCCTCCATGGTTAGAGTGTACTTGCGGTCCTGAGGAAAGAGCGAAGAGTACCAACTGAACACAGGACTCCTAGACTTCAATCCCAGATGGGTGACCCTGAATAAGTCTTGTACCTCCCCTAGGATTCAGTTTCCCCAAGGGGGTGGCAGGATAAGCCTCCACTGTTGTGGAAGGTAATTACTGGTTCATTGAGCCTCCCCTCACACCTTGCTTTTGCTCCGGGAGCTGCCGGAGGCTGTGCCCTTCATTTTGCAGTGCTGTAGGGCATCATTGGCAATATCTGAGATGAATTTCTGGGCAGCTAGGGAGATGAGCCGAATTCTAGAGAGAAAAAACTGAGATGAGAAGGAGATGATCAACACACTGCACAAGTACCCAAAACTAACCTGCCCTGGGTTTACTCACATGCGTGGGTCTGAGGCCTCAAAACCAGCACGGTTCAGGTAGTAACCAGTCACTGCATCTGGGATCTGAGAAATCAATTAAGAGAACTGTCAGCAGAGCGGGAGGAGGACGAGGGAAATGTCGGATAGGCCTGGTTATCAGGAAGCTGTTTGTGGGGCAGAGGGCAAAAAAATCAGAAGAGCGACTAGGGAAGCAAACAGAGGACGCTGGAAAGCACGGAGATATAGCTGAAAGTTGTGACTGCACGCTAGGTAGCCTTGTTCGGGCGGGAAGCCCACCGTAGGCGTGTAATCCTCCAGCTGCATCAAGAAGTCCACCAGAGGCGTGCTGGATACCACGGGCTTCACGTCTCCGTTGGCCGCGCTCGGCAGTACGTAAACCCCGTTAGACATGGCCCCCTCCGGGGGCGCCGCGCCACCCGACGACACCGGAGCTGGAGGAGAACCAGCAAAATGAGACACAGAGGTGGGAGGCGCAGGGCCCCAGCGAGGTCAGCCTATACCTTCTGCCCTCAACCGCCGCTGGGCCCAGTCCAAGGCGCTGCCCTCGCCCTCACCCGTCCTGGTCCTCACCTGCCCCGCGCCGCTCAGCTGGTTCCCCGGCCCGCGCCGCCAAGGGTCCCGTGCCCCCAACAGCTGCTCCAGCCCCAGGCCCCCCTGTTGTCCCCGCGGGGCTGGCCTTGTTCTCCGCGGCGGTGCTAGCTGGCAGCGCGGCGGGAGCCGAGACCGGGGGCGCCGGGCCCGGGGCCGAGGCGGCAGAGGCTGGCGCCGCCTCGGGGTCCGCGCCGGAGCCGCTGCAGCTCATCGGGCCGGTGGGAGAGGCGGCGAACAGAGCCGCTTCCGCTTCCGCTCGCGCTGCGCACACCCCGGGGTGACGTCACGCGCCCACGACTCGCCCCGCCTGTCACTGTTAGCGCTCTCCGGCCGGCTCCCCGCCCTCCTCCCGTAGCGGGTCTGCGGATTAGAGGAAATAGGCTGAAGGGCGGAGACCAAGCGTTGGCCAACTGCGCTTGCCGTCGCCATTCCGCCCTAAGCCTGTGCAGTGCTCCGCGGCGATTCTGTCGAGATCGGAACCAGCGTACGTCTGGGACTCCTCTAACTCCTCTGTCAGCTCATTCTGCCTGACACTCAAGACCTTGCTTAGAGGTTTATGCCCCTACATCCCTCGACTACGGATTGCCTGCCTGTCTGCATCCTTTCAAGTTCCCTTATTCAGCCTTTTAAGGGTTCGTAGTGGATTTGGAAAGTCCCCCCGTCTCCTCCAACTGCCCCGAGAGGTGGAGGCAGCAGTGGGCTGGCACACAATGCTGCTGTAGGAGGAGGGGTTTCAGCCTGAGTAACAGCATACGCAAAAATC